ATTTATTTATTTGACAGACAGAGATCACAAGTAGGCGGAGAGGCAGGCAGAGAGAAAGTAGGAAGCAGGTTCCCCGCTGAGCAGAGAGCCCATGTGGGGCTCCATCCCAGGACCCTGGGATTATGACCTGAGCCAAAGGCAGAGGCTTAACCCACTGAGCCACCCAGGTGCCCCTATGACAAACATTCTTATATCAAAATGTTACAGGATTTCTTCTTTAGTGCCCATGGTTCTGGGTCATGCTGCTTAGAAGAATGAGGTAGACAGGACAGACGAACAGTGGTGGGCAGCAAAGCAAAGTTTATTGAGTCGTAGTACAAAGCTCCTGAAGAGGGAGGGGACACATGAGGGTTGCCGATTTGGTGTTTAGATCTTGAGTTGTTTTGTTTTGTTTTAAAGATTTTATTTCTTTATTTCACTGAGAGAGAGAGAGAGAGAGAGAGAGAGAGAGAGAGAGAATGCACCAGCAGAGGGAGCTGCAGAGGGAGAGGGAGAAGCCAACTCCCCACTCAGCAGGGAGTCCAATGCCAGGCTCCATGCAAGGCTCAATCCCAGGACCCTGGTATCATGACCTCAGATGAAGGCAGATGTTTAACCAACTGACCAGGTGCCCCAAGATCTAGGGGTTTTATGGGTTTTTTGGTTTGGGTGTCTTAATCTGATTAACTCCGTGTGCCTGTCATCCAATCAGGTTTTTGTCATCTACCTATCATGTGGGAAAGGGTGGGGTCCTTCCGGGGTGGTGTCAAATCCTTTTAAGTGTGGTAACCTCTTAGGGCAGGCACCTCTTGTCCCTGCCTGCCTTTCTCCCAACTATACTTCATTAAACATGATGTACACATTTCTGATAAATTCCTGAGGATAAATTCTTTTTTTTTTTTTAAAGATTTTATTTATTTATTTGACAGAGAGAGAGATCACAGGCAGGCAGAGAGGCAGGCAGAGAGAGAGGGGGAAGCAGGCTCCCCGTGGAGCAGAGAGCCTGATGCGGGGCTCGATCCCAGGACCCTGAGATCATGACCCGAGCTGAAGGCAGAAGCTTAACCTACTGAGCCACCCAGACACCCTGAGGATAAATTCTTTTTTTTTTCCTAAAGATTTTATTTATTTATTTGTTAGAGAGAGAGAGAGAGAGAGTGTGTGGGAGCACAGGCAGACAGAGTGGCAGGCAGAAGCAGAGGGAGAAGCAGGCTCCCTGCCGAGCAAGGAGCCCGATGTGGGACTCGATCCCAGGACTCTGGGATCATGACCTGAGCCGAAGTCAGCTGTTTAACCAACTGAGCCACCCAGGCGTCCCCTGAGGATAAATTCTTAACAAGTAGAATGTTTGAGTCCAAGGGTAGGAATGAACATCAGATTTTTGAGGATTATTGCCAAATCAATTTACGCCCTTCTCAATGATCATTAAGGGCTTTTATTTTTCCTTGTCCTTACCAATATTAGGCTTTATCACTTAAAAAAAAAAAAAAACGAAAACACAACTTTACCAATCTGAGAGACAATAAGTGGTAAAAAATACCTAATTTCTCTTTTAATAAGTATAGTATATGGAGCATAATTGAGTCTTAACAAGGCTTAGTAGTGATTCTGACTGCTGTGTTCTGATGTGTAGAACTGATCTGCCGACCCGTAGCATAAAGGTCATATTTGAAGAAAGCTTTGTGCCTCAGAACAAACCCTGTGTTTCTGAGTGGGAAGTAAGGAGGCTTGGATTCTGGTTCTAGCCAGTCATCTTTCCTTAGGCAAGTGTTATATTCTCAGTAATTTGCCTTAAATACCTCAGGGGAGCCAGTAGGATGTTTGTCTGTGTGCAAGTTAACCTGAGTCTGTGCCCTGAGAATCCTCCCTCTAGAGGACAGTATTGCAAGCACTTCAAGAACTGCCTCCTACATCAGTCCTGGAGGGCTAATTAATTAGTCTAATTAATATCAGGAATAATTTTTCACTGATGAAATGAGTAATGTGCAAGATAGGAGACAAGTAAGATTATAGAAGTGTTTCCTTGCCTTTTAAAAAATTTTTTACTTTATTTTATTTAAAATATTTTAAAATATTTTAAATAATATATTTTAAAATATTAAGAATTTAATAATAATAATATTAAAATAAAAAATTTTAAATAAAGATATTAAAAATTTAAAAAAATTTAAAAATATTTAAAAATATTTTTAAAATATTTAAAATTTAAAATATTTTATTTAGAATATTTTAACAATTGTGTACATCTCTCTGCCTTTTTTCAAACAACGGAAGAAATAAGCTTGGTAACAACTTTGCTGGAGTAGTGCCTCATCTAGAGCTCCATTTGTTCTGGAATCCTCCACTTCCCCAGGGATTTAGTTGCTTGATTTGGCTAGAAGGGTAGCTGATTACGTCATTGTAATATGGACACACTTGCCCCAGAGAGATAATTCCCTGTGAAGGCTCCCACAGCGTGCCCAAGTGCATGGTGAGGAGGGGATTCCATTTAGCTTCCAGAAATGTAGTGTGGACTCTTGTGGTACCTGCTTGGTGGTGTCTTTCCCGTGGCAGAATTCAACCCAAGACTTGCTTTCACGGTAACGTACCTCCGGTGATTTGGTCGTAGAGAGAGACAACACACCACTTTTAACATAACCTCTTGGAAACATTTTGCTCCTCTGTATGAATTGCAAGAGGTGGACTAAATTATTTCTGACCTCCCCATTAGTTCAAAAGTTCCAGATCATGTGGTATAGAGACAGCATTAGATTTGGATTGCCTGGCATCTTTCCTCAGTAGAAAAGAAATCTTTATCATATTTAATGTTAATTTCAATGATGTCTAATAGAAAGGGAATAAAAAAGGAAACTGAAGTTTAGAGCGATTAAATAGCAAAGTTCTCTCTCCAGAATCCGTGCTCTTTCTACTGATGTCCCTGTGTATCATAGAGATACAGTATAAGATACTGTAACGGATAACTCTGCTAGGGACTAAACTGTGTCCTCCTAAAATTCCTATGTCCAAGCCCTAATCCCCAGGGTTGGGATTTGGTGATAGGGCCTTTGAACAGGTCATTAAGGTTAAATGAGGTCATAAAGGTGGGGCCCTGATCCAATATGACCGGTATCCTTATAAGAGGAGACAGACACCAGGGATTCACAGGGACAGAGGAAAGGCCATATAAGGCCCCAGCAAGAAGGTGGTCGTCTGCCAGCCCAGGAGAGAGGCTTCCGAGATGCCAAACCTGTCAACAGCTTTCCAGAACTGTGAAGCAATAAATTCTGTCATTTAAGCCCTTAGTCTTTTGTTACAGCAGCCCTAGGGACCAAAACACCCTCACCTCTGTGGGGATGGGGTGGAAAGATGTTTAAGAGAACCATTTTGGTGAGGCTCCTGCTCAGGAAAATCAAAAGTGGCAGGGTAAGGGATTTTCTGCAAGTTCTGTGAGACTTTAGGTGTTTGTAACTTACATATTCTATATGTAAACCTATATGAATAGTAAGCCTTTAATTAAAAGTCCTACTTTCTGTTGTGCAGGGTGCCAGGTAAGATGGTATAAAGAGTCTCCACAGCCCTGAGAGTTGGGTGGTTACCTTTCAGATATCTGGGAAGGGGAGGAGGTTGGAAGAAGGACCTCAGGAGACGACAGGGCACAGGAAGGCAGCTCTACAAGGAGAGGAAAGCTGGCTGAAGCCCAGGCCTGTAAGCAGAGAGAAAGGAGTGACGAGCAATGAGGTGGTCAGGCAGTTCGAAGGCTGGGGAGGAGAGGTTCTAGAACCACACCAAGAAGGGCCTAGGGACGGGGCAAAGAGCTTGTAGGGACCAGGGCAGTGGCCCAAAAAGGCATACCCAGGACCTGTGAGGACCCCAGGGAGCGATAGGTAGGTGGGGATGGGAGAGAGGAAGTATAAATAAGGGCAGGGCCCATAGCAAGTTGCGCCTGCTTAATTCTGCCGTGGGCAGAGCTTTCCGGACTATCGCTGTAACCTTACACGGCTATGCTAGTGAGAGAGGAAGCCCACCGGTTTCTCTGCACCGTCCCCTTACCCATCTGTTCCCACGTAGCCCTCATTTAAGTGTGGAAAAAATCTGGTTTGTTTGTCAAGTTGGTGGAAGCTTTGTCATCTCAATAATTCCCCAGTTCCATTACAGGTTGAAGGACGTGAGACAAATTGGATAGGCTTCAGGGGGCTCCTCATCGGGGCCAGGAGTTGACACTGCAGTGAAATCAGCATAGAACTTATATGCAGGGGTGCCTGGGTGGCCCAGTGGGTTAAGCCCCTGGCTTGGCTCAGGCGAAGATCTCAGGGGTCCTGGGATCGAGTCCCACATTGGGCTCTCTGCTTGGCAGGGAGCCTGCTTCCCTCTCTCTCGCTCGCTCTGCCTGCCTCTCTGCCTACTTGTGATCTCTCTCTGTCAAATAAATAAAAAATCTTTAAAAAAAAAAAAAAAGAACTTATATGCAGTCTGTAACCATGGAAATGAGGTTTGCTCCAGATAAACCAACAGGCTCCTAGAAGTCCAACGGGCCATGAGCAGGTCCATTACCAAGAAGCACCCTGTGTAATGACCCTTACATGCATCAGGCAAAGCATAATGGTGCTTTCCCCGGTGCTGGTCATGTAGGAAAGTGTCCACTCATTGTGTCCGCCCTGCAGACAGGAAGGGAGGCAGAGAATGGAGCCATTACTTTGGAACTGGCTCCCCAAGTTAGAGAACGCCTACTCTCAGAGACCCTCAAGAGACCAATGGCCATTTTGGTCTGCGTGATTTTAACATCGATTGACATGATAGATTTTTAAGATTCCTTCCAGCACTTCAATTTTGTGATCCCAATCTCTAAGGAGAATGTTGACTGATGAGCAGACCTCACTTCTGATGTGATGTGACACCAGACGGCAAAGTTATAGCTGACGTTGGACACATAGTCTTAGTGGCTACTGCAGGGAATTTGCAAAATCCCACACCAAGCTGTACTTGTTGGGATTGGGTTTCGGAATCAGTTTTATTCCTATCCATCTCTATTCAATCACAGGTAGTCTTTAGATGGTGGAAGATCTCTCTGAGGAGTGAGTATCGATCAGCAAAGCCTGGAGAAGCAAAAGACTCTCATGAAGAGTTCCTAGAGAATTCCCACCTTCAAGGTAAGGAAGGGAGCACGTTATGTACTTCCTGCTCAGTTTCCTTTAATTAGTGACAGATTTTGTCACAGAAATAGCCAGCATATCGTCATTTGAAATACTGATATGTTATTACGTACTCAAAGACAGATAATTGCTAACATATCCCGAAATTTCTCTTGCGAAAAATCTTCAAGTGTTTAAGATTCCAGGTTAATGTGTCGGTTCCATTAATAATCTTAAATCGCATAAATACAATATTTTTCCTACAACATTGAATTAAAATGGGTTTCCTTTAGTTAACAATAAATTAAAAGGTTATTTGAAAACACAGTCAACTTCTCAAATCCTTGGACTCTCATGCATTTTGGCAAAATTGCTGCCACTTCTTTTTAACATCAAGTTTTGCTTCAGAAGTAGCCTTAATCAGGAAGCACGTGGTTTGCCCTCCGGTTTCCCCTGTGCTTTTTGCTTTCACAATATGAAAATTTCCAATAAGAAGCTGGGGCGCCTGGGTGGCTCAGTGGGTTAAAGCCTCTGCCTTCGGCTCAGGTCATGATCCCAGGGTTCTAGGATCAAGTCCTGCATTTGGGTTCCTGGCTCAGCGGAGAGCCAGCCTCTCCCTCTGCTGCTGCTCCCCCTGCTTATGCTCTCTTGAGCTCTCTCTCTGTCACATAAATAAATAAAATCTTTAAAAATAAAAAGCAAATGGTCTTTAACAAACTCCTAGATACCTATCACCTGGCTTCAATGATACTCAAAATGTGGCCCAAATCTCCACACTAAGCCACTGTTCCCACTGGATTAGTTGGAAGCAAATCTCAGTTGTTACATCATTTCATGCTAAACCACTTCAGTATGTGTCTCTTAAAAGGAGTCCCTTTAACTAACCTCCTTAATAACTATTTACCTTCAGTACAAAAATGGAAAACAAGAAGCCATTTTAGAAATTTTTATTTTATTAGGAGTTAATATCAAACTTTTATATATGTGCTCTCATTTTATCATTACAATATCCTTGTGAAATAACCAGTATTATCCCCATTTCACTAATGAGGTTAAGAATAGATATGCCTTTCCAGGGTGCCACAGCTAATTACGGGCATTGCCAGGAAACACCAAGAGTGGAAAAATCAAGTGCATGAACCTTTTTTTAATTTCCTTTTAAGTTTAGAAGTTCTATTTATTTATTTTATTTATTTATTTTTTTTAAAGATTTTACTTATTTATTTGAGAGAGAGAATGAGAGAGATCATGAGAGGGGAGAGGGTCAGAGAGAGAAGCAGAATCCCTGCGCAGAGACCCCGATGCGGGACTCGATCCCAGGACTCGGGGACCATGACCCAAGCCAAAGGCAGTGGCCTAACCAACTGAGCCACCCAGTCGCCCCACAAGTACATTAATCTTATTCTTAAAGACACATTCTGGGTGGATCTTTGATAATCAACATTCTTAAAAGATATTCTACTGTTTAAATTATAGCATGTAACAGTTGTTTTTTTAGGCAGAGAGTAGGTTTGGTTTGGTTTTGTTTCCTTAAACAGTTGAAAGTCTGGATTGATTGACTTCAATTCCTGTTGTTGCATACATCTTCTTTAGTTAACCTCCTTATAGAAAGTACTTAACGCATTAGTGGTTTAAAAAGAACCATGTTGGGGAAAGGCTGTCCTCTTTTCATTGAATAAAAAATCAGTCCAGGCACTCCTTGCTTATTTAACTGTAAAATAGACAGGTTTCTGCAGTGATGAAGTCAACTGCTATAGGGGAGCCTGAGTGGCTCAGTCATTGGAGCAGATGACTCTTGGTCTTGGAGTGACTCTATTCCACGTTGGTTATAGAGATGACTTATAAATAAAATCTTAAAAATAAAGTAAACTGCTATATAACACATTTCATTTTTAGGTCAGAATCCAATTTACTTTCTGAGCATTGTAGTAACTACCGCAAAGCTTATGTCTAAGCAAGAAATATTCACGGACAGACCATGTGATTTTCCAATCACAAAATCTGGCAAGGGACATTGGCCTTGCTTGTGTTCTGAGTACAGTCTCTTGTTTGCCCCAGACACCTCCCACACCCCTGCCCCCTGCTAGGATATAGGGGTGGGGGGGTGGGGCAATAGTGGCTTGGGGATAACACTTGTGGGGTTCCTGATCCTGGGAAAATAGGCAATAAGGTGGGACTTTTAAAATTGCAGTTGGAGGGGCTCAGTCAGTTAAGCATCTACCTTCTGTTCAGGTAGTAATTTCCGAGAGTCCTGGGATCGAGCCCCACGTAGGGTTCTCTGCTCAGCAGGGAGTCTGCCTTTCCCTCTCCCTCTGTGCCCTCTCTCACTCTTGCTCTCTCTCAACTAAATAAATAAAATCTTTAAAAAATAAAATAAAATAAAACAAATAAAAATAAATAAAATAGAACAGCAGTCTGAGAGCTGCAGTCTCAGGACTGGCTGGTGGCCTCTGGACAGGAGTAGCACTGAGACACTGAATTAAATCACCTGGCAAGTTCAAAGGCACCTGTGTTTCACTTTTTAGACTTCTACAGCATCCGGGTCTCTGGCAGAGGAGAAAACTCCAGACAGTGATATTATTTGGCCTCTTTCTCCTCCTTGGTCCTTAAGGAATCCCTCAGAAGGCATCCCTACAGAAGAAGAGGCGTGCGCTGGGCCCAGAGAGAGGCTCAGGGGTCAGTGGCCAGAATTTGAACCGTTGCTGCTCCTACCCAGCTGTGTGACCACAGGCTGACCCTGACTCCCTCTGTAAGCCCACTTTCTCCTCATACCTGGGGAAAAAACTGTTATTCCATGTGGTCACTGTGGGCATTCAGTGATCTGACACCTGAACCATATTTAGAGCCACACACACTACATAATCAACTCGTAATCATTATTTGCTGTTTTTAAGTATTGATGTTTGACTTGGTTTGATTTTTCCCATTCGCTTCTTATCATATTCCCAAGATCCCCCCCCAAGGTTTTTCTCACCTAAAGTTCCTCTCCAACTCATATGGTACACACCTGGCGATAGGTCTCTAGAATCTGGGTCACCCTTGGTGTCCTGGCAGAGGACCGGAACCATATTACTCTTACTTCCTTGACCTCTCAGCAGCACTGAACTTGGAGGGGACATTTTCTTCTCCTGGCTTCCAGGAGCACCAAGCTCTTTGTTCTCTTCCTGCCTCACTGGTCCCTTCCCAGCATCCTTGTCGGCTCCTCCTCTTCTCTGCAAATCTAACTGTTGGGGGCCTAGGGTTAGCTCCAGTGCCTGTTCTCTTGTCTGTCTGGGCTTAACTCCTGGGTGATTGGATCTGGGCTCCGACTTTAAATGCCATCATACACTGACAAGTCCTAAAATGATATCTCCAGCTGGCCCATCTCCCCAGAAACTCTCCACTCAGATTTTTATCTGGCTGCTCCCTTGACATCTCCACTTGAGTTACTTCTAATGGGCTCTCAAATGTAACATGTCCAAAAATAGCTCCTGATCTTCCCTCCTGCCAAAAAAAAAAAAAAAAGAAGGCCCAAATCCTATAGTTAGCTTTGGTCCCTTTCTTTCTGTCACACGCTAGATGTCATCCATCAACAAAACCAGAATCTGAACGGTGGTTCACAGCCTCCAAGATGGTTCCTAAACATGCCCACCTCTCAGTGTTCACAGTCTTGTGTCATCCCCCCCCCCGCACTGTACTTGGTCAGCCTGTGTGACCAGTACAATCTGGCAGGAGTGATGTTGTGTCACTTTGGAGGTTAGGTTATAAATGACACTACAACGTCTGACTTTTCTCCTTTCCCTCTTTCTCTCATCACTTGCTCTGGGGGAAGCTGGCTGCTGTGGCTCAAGGCAGTCCTGTGGAGAGGCCTGTGTGATGAGGAACTGAGGCCTTCAGTCAGCTGCCATATTCAAGAGCTTTCTTGAATGTGGACCCTAGAACCACTGTCAAGACTTCAAATCATGCAGACCCACATAAGGTCTTGACTGAACCTCAGGAGAAACAGACTCTGAGCCAGAACCACCCACTCCCACATTCCTGAATCTCAGAAACTGTGAGAAAATAAATGTTTGTTGTTCTAAGCTGGTAAATTTGATAATCATTTGTTACTCAACAGTAGATAACTAATACAGAACGTTTCTCACCAATTCCAACTCTGGTCCAACCAACAACAACCTCTCAACCAGATTATTGTCTGCCTTTTTTTTTTTTTAATTAAAAATTTTTTTTTCAACCAGATTATTGAGTTAATCTTCTAACTGGTCTCACTTTTCCTACCCTTGCCCTACAATAGTGTGGTCTTGTCACAGTAGCCAGTATCAGCCCTTCAAGACATATATCAGGTCACATTATTTATCTGCTTTAAGACTTTCAGTGGCTTCCCATCTCACTTAGGGTAAAAATCCATATCTTGTAGTGATCTTCAGCCACTCTCCTCTCTTGTGTACTCTACTTTAGGCACACTGGCCTCCCTGGTGCTTCTTGAATAAACCAAGCATGCTCCTACCTCAGGGCCTTTGCACTTGCTATTCCCTTTGTTAAGAATATATTTTCCCAGGGGCGCCTGGGTGGCTCAGTGGGTTAAGCCTCTGCCTTCGGCTCAGGTCATGATCTCAGGGTCCTGGGATCGAGCCCCACATCAGGCTCTCTGTTCAGCAGGGAGCCTGCTTCTCCCTCTCTCTCCGCCTACTTGTGATCTCTCTCTCTGTCAAATAAGTAAATAAAATCTTAAAAAAAAAAAAGAATATATTTTCCCAGATGTCCCCATGATTTGCTCTTCATTCAGAAGAATGAAGAGCTGAAACTACCTTATTAGAGAGTGTTTCCCTGACTACCACATAAAATAACAATCCCCTCTTCCTTAACCTGGAAGACCAGATCTCTCATAACACTTTTTACCAATGATATAATCTATGTTATTTGTTCATTTATTGTCGGTCTCCATCACTAGAATGTAAATTCCACTATGGTAAAGACTTTGCTTTACTTACCAGTGGGTCTTTGGCACCTACCTAGAGCAATACCTAGCTCCATAAATA